CTCACTGAGAGCATCGTGGCAACGAACCCTAAGTACAATTTGTACTTCTTAATGAAAAGAGAAAATTAATGAATAAGGTATTGTTCAAATACAATCAAAACTGTAAACTTTTGTGCTTTAATCAATATATTTCAGTTATTTTTCTGAATACAGTCCTTTGTATCAAATACTCGGCCTATTCATAGGGCGTTAAAAGCTAATTTTTACACAGGTACTTGAGTCTTGGTTTATAAATACGTATGTACCTTATTGATACATGTATGTAAAAAAGTAAAGTACATTTTTTACATATCGATAAGGTACGTACATATTTATAAAGCAAGGCCCAAGTACCAGTGAATTTTTAACCCCCCCCCCCCCCAAATCAATTTATAAGTAAAATGTGCATATTCGCTGCTTTTATCCTTGAGGAAAATGAAATAAGAGCATCTGAAGTACAATATCCATAACATAGTGTAACAGGTTTCACAATAAACGCCAATTAATGAAATTGTCTTTTTTTTTCAAATTTTCACAAAGGGGGGGGGGGGGCGTACATCTACTTCCTGCAGGATTTTGAACAAAGTATTTCTTCCTGCTATAAGCCTGTAGGCTGTCAGTAGAAACTACAATATATTTTCTGTCGGTAGTAGTATAAATTCAATTCCCCGCGCTTGCGCGGGATTTCATCTAGTGGTGTTAAATAAAAGAAAGTCCCTCTCTGGTACCTCTCTAGTATCTCACTTGTCAGAGTTACCTCTCTTGTTTTTATTTGTAGTTCTTAAAAATAATATCACGTCTGTCATTCGTTCGTACTTTTGCTAGATTTGTGAAAACTTACAAGAATACTTTTCTTTTCGGTTGGAAGAAGTGTGATCAGTTTCAAATTTTTGGCAATTAAAGCATTTTACAAAAAAATTTTATGCGCGATGTATACCAATGCTTCAATGTTTACATAATCGATGTGTTGAGAATGGTGGGGCGGATCTTATACAGGAAAACGATTTCCTCTGCAATATTTTCATATACTTGTGTCTAACAAATAACTTCAATTTGTCTATATATCAAAATCGCATTCGTTCATCCATATTCAATTATCCAGAAAATCACCTTGTCTGAAGTTTCTATATATGTATAGGAAATGCATAGCCCAGATCAGAGACGTATTATAAAGCTATGTAATAACACGTAGTAAAGAAACGGGTCTCGAATATAATTCTAAATATTTTAATTAATATCAGTGGACTAGAAGATAAAGAACGGAATTAAAGATATAAATGAAAATAAATAATTATTTCAATGTTGAGAACAACGACGAAAGTGAGCTAGATGTGTCAAAACGTAAAAAAAAATCTGCCTCGACGCTCACCGTCTGCAACGTCATATCTTTATGACGTTATTTCTCTGTTTTAGCAAAATTGCCATAAGGCCCATTTGTCATGGGCGCAATCATATAATGTTTATATTGACGTTTGATATTGTCAAAATTTTAATCAATACATGGTGTCTAATTTAGCCTTTACTAAACAGTTCTAATAGATGTAATAAGAATTATAATGTCCGCCGACAACCTGTATTATACATAATAACTCTCCACAATCCCCTATGCTAAAAATAGTGCCATGCGACTTTTAATACAATACATGTAAATAATAATTAAAAAATGGGGTGGGACACTTTGAGAGGGGTGAGAGAGGCCCTAGGGAGTTATGGTATAAAATTTCATTGCAAAAGCTCAAAAGCTTTTTGAGATATCGCCCAGAAACAAAAGTGTTACACACAGACGGAATGTATAAATTTACGACCTTGAACTCTGACCTTTTGACCTCAAAATCAATAGAGGTCTTCCTTAGGCCACAGGGAGTTGTTATGTAAAATTTCATTGCAAAAGCTCAAAGGATTCTCGAGATATCGCATGGAAATGAAAGTGTTAAAACAGACAGTAATTATGAATTTACCTTGGCCTTTGACCTCAAAATCAATAGGGTTCTTCTTTAGGCCATAGGGAGTTGCTATGAAAAATTTCATTGCGAAAGCTCGAAGGGTTCTCGAGATATCGTGCGAAAACGAAAGCGTTACAGACAGACAGAAATACAGACGGATGGACAGATGGATGGACGGACGGACAGACAGACCCAAATTAATATCCCCCACTTTCAGTGAAACTGGGGGACAAAAATATTGTAGGTATTAATAGGCTTAGAATCAACAAACCTAGTTGATGCATCTTAGGTTCTCAGAGAATGACAGGTGATAAATAGGTCACCATGGCCTACTCTGAGGTACTAATTGGCTTAGAATCCACTTGGGCTCTCAAAGTGTTTCATCTAAAATGTAGGTCATGATGACCTATGTTTGGAATTTCAAGGCTTTATCTAAATATACATGATACTTAGAGGCTTCAAATAGAAGTAATAGGTTGTACAGTTTATCAGAAGAGCTATTCAAGGCCCTTGGGCCTCTTGTTAAGTGATTTTACTGGAGGCTGGAAAATGGCCTTATAGGGAATCCTCCTTTACATTTTAATTGTATTATAGTAGTACAAATAAATATAAGAAATATTTTTTTTTTTATTTTGAACAATATGCTAAATCAAAAGTGAATTGTCAAAATCTTTTTTTTGAACATCAAAATGTGTCTTCGCCTATTTTTCCAAATTATCCGACTTAGAATTTTCAAATTTTTCTAATAATTAATCTGTGGTAGAAAATCATTAGTTTGAATCCAGGATTGAGAACTTGTAAAAATGGATTAACGACATATAAAGGTTGGTTTTCTTGTGATGGTTGAGTTTATTTATGTTAAAATTGTTCATATACATTGTAACACGTCTGTTACATATATTCAGACATATTTTAGACGAGATGTTAGTTGAAGTGTAGGCCGTCACCGGTTCTCAATTTACATGTTTTTCAGAATCAAAACATGAAGGCTTGCAAAGAGAAGTGGATGTAGGCAAAAGCCTGTCCACTTCTCTAAAGAGAATATGGCCGAGGCTCTCCGCACAACGATTGTACAAATTACTAATGTAATCCACACAATGGTCCTGCTTATTATGGTGGCTTTTGCATGACAAACTTTGATATAAATTTATATTTATTATATGTTAATAACTGCGTATTATATATTATGATTATATAAGACCAGCTTTAAAATGTTTGTTTGCACTCTCCCGATTCAGGATGAAAAATTGGTAGGTAGGTGGTAAAAAAATTTTTCCAGAAAATTCTAACTTCTGTGCTGAATTTTCAGAATCTATTTTGTGGAATGCATAAAAGAAATGTTTCACAGAGGCTAAAAAAAGTTTTATATCAAACCATTTTTAGCCAGTCCATCGGGAAAACAATTTTTTGAAGATGCATGTCCTTATATACTTTATTATCAGGTCTAGTCTAAAGACTATTTCTACATACATAGCAACTTATAGCTACCTCAGGGTTTGTTAATACTCCTACATTGTGACTTTAACCCCCCCCCCCCCCCCCCTCCAACACACATGACCTAATTTTAGATTTTGGAATATAAAATTCTAATACATCTAATACATCTCTAGCTACAGAAAAAAATTTGCAAGGTATCAAACATAAATATTTTTTAATTACTTTATAATAAAAAAATACTTAAACTTAACAGTGATATACTTTTTAGCTCACCTCAAAGTCGAGGTGAGCTTATGCTATAGCGTCGGTGTAAGCATCAGTGTCCCGGTTAAAGTTTTAGGAGCAAATCCATTCCCAAGTGACTATATGCTCTACCTAGACCAAACTTGAATGGATGATGCATCTAGGGATGGACACTACCACACTTGCTTTGGATGCTGGATCTGACCTACATTTTCCAGTTGAATGACCAGGTTAGAGCTTTTGGAGCAGACCTATTCCCAAGTAATTATAAAACCTACCTGGACCAACTTGCATGGATGATGTAACTTGGGATGTACGCTAACCAACCTGCTTCAAATGCTGGATTCGACCTAGATTTTTCACATGAGTGAATTTTAGCCATATTTTAACCAAATTAGCATGGATGATGTAGCTAGGGATGGTCACTTCCAGACTTGCTTTGGATTCTGAATCTGACCTACATTTTCCAGATGAGTGACCTGGATAATTTTTTTGGAGTAGCTGTATAACATTATGGCCTGTTATGGTTAAACTTGCATAGATAGTGCATCTAAGGATGAAAACTTCTAGACTTACTTTGGATGTTTGAACTGACCAAAATTTTCTTGATTAGTAAACAGGATAAATGTTTTTTTAAACAGGTCTATTTTCAAGTAACTATAAGTCTAACTTATAAACCAAACTTGCATGGATATTGATCTTGGCATGTACACTAATTAAAAAAAGAATATGATGTGAAATTTGCCTTACTTAAAGATAACATTCGTCGAGGTGAGCTTTGTAATCTTTGATTACCTATGTTTTAAAAAAAGTTTTCCCCCCCAGAAATATTAATATACATGGAAACATGAAGTGTCAATAAACAACTAAAACAATAAATAAATGTTTTCATAATTGTATCATTGAGAGAGAGAAAAAAGAAAGGCGATATCAGGTATTAGTCTCACCCCTGACCTAATTATTTCCAGAACATTACAGATTGCGACTACTATCTTGATAACTGTGATCATTGTGTTTGTAAATATGTTTATTGTATTTGTATCATTAATAAATCATCAGACTGAGTGATCATTTACAAGATGTGTTGCAACAGCAGCAAAACTAAATTTTTATTGCTTGAAGATATGCTCCTATGTTGATTTCTGTTGAGATTTTGAGAACTACTATATTGCAGTGTTGCATGTTGTAAAAACAGCTTTAAAACAGAGGAAATTTTCAATACTTTTACTTTTTAAATAAATTAAGGCGTAATAAAAAAAAATCTTACAATTTGAAAGTTTTGTTTTATCTTGGTGGGCATACAAAAGGTTTTCAAAAGTAGGTAATAATTAGGTTTAGTTGTAAATTCCCTATTTTTCTTTTTACCTATTTTAATCAAATTGCCATTGAATTCTTCAGGGTGCATCAACGGATTAATGAATATTTGTGGCAGTTGCTTTACATGGTAAATAAAAGACAGTTTCCAGAGCCAGAGGAATTGTCAGAGGGAATGTTTCAAGAGCTTTTTTTGAGATTTGCCAAAATATTTGAATTGGATCTGGTGTAAGTAATGAAAATAAATGATAAGTAATAGCATGTATAATATTATGTATTTTGTTTAAAATTGGCATATACATAGAGTTTTGTGAAAAGATGGATATGCCAATTTAAACAAAATACATGGCATTCCAATACAATGAAAATGAAAACAACAAAATGCCACATAACTAACTGAAATTTAAGTCCCAATTTTTTTTAGCTAACCTGTGATTTTTAGCTCACCTGAGGCAAAGGCTTAAGTTAGAAAAAACATCATTCCGAAGATAATGCATACAATGTTCACACCATATAAGCAATGGGTAATGCGAATCTACTTATCAGACATGAAAAGCATTACAATTTACAAGACACTGAATTCTAATCATATCAAAACAAACCATACTTGCGTGTTGACAAAGAAAGTAGGTGAAAATGCATTTTATGTGAATAATAAATATACACCAGACAAGGTATAAGTTTTACAAAATAATATATTTGTTGTTTCTATTTATTATACCCGCACTTTCTAAAGAAAGTTCAGGTATATTGTTGTTACTAATGTCTGTCCATCCGTCTGTCACACTCTTCTTTCTCACACTCCTCTTACATTTTATACAGTAGCCTAATCATCTTTTGGGAGGTGGTTGGCGGTGTCATTTAGATGTGCAGTAAGGTTTCAGAAATTTCATTTTCACCCTGGGGGTCAAAAGGGGGTCGAAAAATGACGTTATTTATGCAAAAAGCTCCAGGTTCCCTAAACTCCTCTTACATTGTACACAGTAGCCTAATCATCTTTTGGGAGATGGTTAGTGGTGTCCTGTAGATGTGCAGTAAGGTTTCTGAATTTTCATTTTCATCCTGGGGGTCAAATGGGGGTCGAAAAATGACGTTTTTTATGCAAAAAGCCCCAAGTTCCCAGTACTTCTCTTACATTTTACACAGTAACCTAATCATCTTTTAGGAGAGTGTTGGTGGTGTCATGTAGATGTGCAGTAAGGTTTCGGAATTTTCATTTTCACCCTAGGGGTCAAATGGGGATCAAAAAATGATGTTTTTTTGTACAAAAAGACCCTGGTTCCCTGAATTCCTCTTACATTTTACACAGTAGCCTAATCATCTTTTTGGAGATGGATGGTGGTGTCATGTAGATGTGCAGTTAGGTTTGGAATTTTCATTTTCACCTTGGGGGTCAAATGGGGGTCGAAAAATGACGTTTTTTATGCAGAAAGCCCCTGGTTCCCAGAACTCCTCTTACATTTTACACAGCAGGCTAATCATCTATTGGGAGATGGTTGGTGGTGTCCTGTAGATGTGCAGTAAGGTTTCGGAATTTTTATTTTCACCCTCGGGGTCAAATATATATCAAATATATATATCCCTTATATTTTATGCATTAGCCTGAAATCATGATCATTTGGAAGATGATTGGTTTTGTCCTGTGGATGTGTAAAATGGTTTTATAATTTGCATTTCCATGTGGATGGCAAATAGGGGCAGGAAAAAAATGGCCCCTCCCTAACCCATGGGGTCATGATTTGTACAAACTTGAATCTACACTTCTTGGGAATGTTTCCATATTAATCATGCTTTTGTTGTTCTTAAAAAGAAGAATTTTGAAGATCTTATTTTCCTTTCATTCCTATATAAAACTTTGATCCCTTATTGTGGCCTGACCCTATCCTCGGAGGTCATGATTTGAAAACTAGAAATATGTCCATAGGACATAAATGCCCCGCCGAATTTATATTCTAATGCAACATGAAAATTTGTATGAGTGTATGAAGTTTGATGAGAATCTCTTGAACAGTTTCTTTAAGAACATACGCAATGTAGTTTGAACTTTATTGTCTTTTTCCCTGGAGTTAAAGAGTTCCAATACTTAAAGGAACTGTGTGCTACATTTTAATGTCTATATATGCTGTTGTACACTTCTTCTAAAACAAGTTTGGATAAACAAAATATCTAGAATACCTGCTTCGTAATTTTTGTATATTTTTCTTTGAATTATACAAGAATTTTCATCAAGTGAAATCTTTTCAAAACCCCTGGTAATGCATGCTGATTTTTTGTCTATGAACATCTGATAGCACTATAATCTTAAATTAAGAATATCTTGAAAAATTATCGGTAGGTAAGGTATGTTGTGTATGTCCTTAAAATTGGATATAGATGATAAATTCTCACCAAATTATGTATAAGTGCATGTTTACATAAAAATATCTTAGATTGTTTCTTTAAAACTAAGCAAAATACAAATTAAAGAGAAGGTCAAAGGAAAGGTAGAGGTCAAAATGTTGATGGCCAGTTGAAAAGCTTACATCAGTATGTATTTACTATTAGCATATGAAGTTTGATAAAAATATCATAAATGGTTTATTTACAATGTAGATAAACCCTAATTTTAAAAAAGTGAGGTCAAGGTCAAAGGAAAAGTCAAGGTTAAAAAGGTTGATGCAATTGATAGCTCTCAGCAGTATGTATTAGCGTATGAAGTTTGATAAATATATCTTGAATTGTTTATTCAAAACTGATCTAGACACTAATTTAAGAAAAGTGAGGTCAAGATCAAAGGAAAGGTCAAGGTCAAAAAGGTTGATGCAGTTGAATAGCTTACATCATTAGTATCAACATATGAAGTTTGATTACACTATCTTGAAAAACTGAGCTAAACACTAATTTAAGAAAAGTGAGGTCAAGGTCAAAGGAAAGGTCAAGGTCAAAAAAATTGATGCACTTGAAAAGCTTACATCAGTATGTATCAGCATAGGAAGTGTGATTGAAGTCGGACATGACAAACACTATATGCCTCGGCCATATTCATGGCAGGGCATAAAAAAACTTGAATCTGCACTATATGAGGATGCTTCCATATCAAAATGACTAACAAGCAAATTCAAAGAATTGTTGTCCCCTGCTTTCCATGTCCTAGTGGATGGGATGCCATTATTTATGACATATTGTTTCAAATATGCACGTCCTATCATATGTCATTCAAAAGTAATCACCAAAGTTAAAATTTTTGAAAATTAGGTAAAACATCAAGATGAAGGGGTAAAAAATCATAGCATGCTCGGAAACATATTGTTACAGGTAAATGTACATGTCAAACATGAAAGTCTGATCTCTTCTCAATCAAAAGTTATAATGAAATATAACATTTTTGAAAAGTAGGTTAAACTTCAAGGTCAATGTCACAGAGTCAAAAGTCATGATATATTTAGAAAGGTCTTGTCACAGGAAATATACATGAATGATATGAATGCCCTATCTTTTCTCTTTCAAAATGATCAATTTAAAACAATGTTAAATTTTTTGAAAAGTAGGTCAAACTTCAAGGTCAAGGTCATGGGTTCAAAAATCATAGTATGTTTAGAAAGTTCTTGTAGGTAATGTACATGTGAAATATGAAAGCCCTATCTCTTATTATTCAAAAGTTATGACCAAGGTTAAATTTATTGTGACAGATGGACAGACTGACAAATGGGGCCAAAATAAAATATACCTTTGTTTCCCCTAACGTGACCGACCCACTTAAATCTTGCCGACTGAAAAGTTTTTTTTAATATGATTGTTAAAATAATTTTTTTTAATTGTTTATCAACTTTATGAAATAAAATTTTATCAAAATTTGTCTTTTATCAGAACGGTTGCTTTTGTTTTACTCTAATTTGGCGCCCACAACATGTGGCCACAGAGGGTTAGTTCTACCTCATGAGCAGATGAGAGACCCACCATGTGTATGCATATCAATAAATTTCACTGCAATTCATTTGTTTCGATCTAATAAACAGTTCATAGTTCATAAGCAGTCCTATTTTTAGCTCACCTCAACGAAGTTGGGGGAGCTTATGTAATACCGTCGGCGTCCCAGGTTAAGGTTTTTGGAGCAGTTTTCTTTTCAAGTACTTCTATGGCCTATATTAGTCAGAGATGCATGGAGGATGCTTCTAGTGTGTTTCATTGTACCAGTCAAGGTTTCAGATGCTGCAATTTCATCTAAAGAATGACCAGGTTAATGTTTTTGGAGCAGGTCTCATTTCCAAGTAACTATAAGCCCTATATTGACCAAACTTGCATGGATGATACATCTAAGGATGCACACTACTGGACTTGCTTCGGATGCTGGATCTGACTTACATTTTCCGGATGAGTGACTAGGTTAAGGTTTTTGGAGTAGATCTCATTTCCAAGTAACTATAAGCCCTATATTGACCAAACTTGCATGGATGATACATCTAAGGATTCACACTACTGGACTTGCTTCGGATGCTGGATCTGACCTACATTTTCCGGATGAGTAACCAGGTTAAAGTTTTTGGAGCAGATCTCATTTCCAAGTAACTATAAGCCCTATATTGACTAAACTTGCATGGATGATACATCTAAGGATTCACACTACTGGACTTGCTTCAGATGCTGAATCTGACCTATATTTTCTGGATGAGTGACCAAGTTAAAGTTTTTGGAGCAGATCTCATTTCCAAGAAACTATAAGGCCTATCTGAACCAAACTTGCGTGGATGATGCATCAAGGGACGAACAATCTCAAAACTTGCTTCGAATGCTGGATTTGACTTACATTTTCTGAATGAGTGACTAGTTTTAAGTTTTCAGATAAGTCTATTCCCAAGTAACTGCAAGCCCTATCAGACCAAAATTGCATAAATGTTGCATCTAGGGATGCAGATTCCTAGATTATTAGTTTAGTGTGGGACTTTGCCTTACTTTAAAGACAACATTCGTTGAGGTGAGCTCTGTAATCTCTGATTACCTATGTTTACTATATAGGACCATAGGAGTTGTAAATATGTCTTTGTATGATTATTTCATCTTGATAAATACACATGTAATTCTGATGTCGTTTCTTCAATCCTTTTATCTATGGGGTATTAACTTCGTGACTTTAACGTTAGATATATGAAACTTTAATCATTTAAAATATGGTTTGGTTGATTTAAATATTGTTTATACACTCTTTCCAATTAGTGTTGAAATCTTTAAAATTTGCTTATGGTCCGGCTTCC